AAAATATTTATGTATACTTCATGAAATTCTTTACGTGATTGCTCCAACTTTAGAAATTTGCTTGCACGCTCGAAATATCTAATAAAATAAATGGAGAGAGTAAAAATACAAAATAATATGGCATGGCAAAACTACGCGAAAACCAAAGGGTATTATGGCGTCGACGACCCGGAAAGACATGCCTTTTCGTGAAACATTTTGTTTGTATGGTGCAAGAGTAACTATGCAATTTGTTACTTGGGCAAAAAAATTTAATACGAAAAATCTTTCATTTATTCCCTAAACCAAAATTGTTGCAATTTTCCGTTGGTTACATACCTATTTTTAGCGAAAGAAGATATGACAATATATTAACTCACTTGCAGTTTTGATTAGGTTCTCTTTTTCACAAAACATGGTTTTTCTTCAGGATGGATAGATTTGCATACCTTCTATTATTCACCCTGCCCGGACTGGCAATTTGCTGTGGAAATGGCCTAACGCAGCTTCGACATCGTGAAACGCTTTCCATAATGAAATGTGTTCCAACGCTGCCGGTAGGTCGCAAAAACTACTTTTATGTCGATTCACGCTACGCGGACCCATAAAAACTCTTTGCAGACAAATTTTCAAGTCCAAAACACTACAGATTAAAAAAGGTATCAACAAATTAAGCTTACGTTGGCCGATTTTACTGCGATTTTGAGGAATTTTGACCTCGAAATGTTTTGGAAAAAACGAAGACGCCACTTTTCTCTAGTTGAGGAATTTTTTGACTAAGGAACACATCGTTTAAAACAGGATTTTTTTAAAATTAATTTTTATCAAAAAACTATAGAAACTGATCCGAAATTGAACAAATTTGGAAAATGACGCCAAATCTTGATGAACATTACGAAAACCGTCGAAAACGTTTAACAGCCTTTCCAAAAAAAAACGCGTTTTTCCGCGATAACTTTTTTGTTTTACAATATTTTGCGATAAAAATTCGGCTGCGCATAGTTTTGCTCGGTAAAAATCTAATCGGATCGGATAAAATTGGGGCTGCGTCTGCGTGCGTTGCGTATCGTCGTTACCAGGATAAAATCATAGAGGAAAGATCCCGAGAAAAAAAATTATTGCTTCTGAAATCCAGGCGTATCAGGGAATCTTTTCAAACATGTTATTTTTCAGGGTCAACCGGATCCGTGTGTTATTCAGACGGGTGGCCGGATGGCATTCTGCCAACCCGACCACGATGGCGCCGACTTTTTCTGTTGTGGATCGACTGCGCTTTTGGTGGAATTAATTGCTCCTGCCTCTACGATACAGGTTCGTCGGCGGATGGTGTTGTAGTCTAAAGGTATCTGGAAGTCGCAAAAACTTTACAAAAGGAGAGTTTAACAAAAATTAAAAAATAAGATAGATAAAAAAAACTTAAAATAAGAAAATTAAAAATAAGGAAAATGTTAGCAAAATTTCATCGTAACCTATTATTTCTAAGGTATTAGGTTAACGCTGATTTTACCAGTACCCTCGATGTCTAGCGGCGTAGATTTAAAAAGCTTTGATAATTTGAAGACACCGTCGATGCACTAATACATCGCCTTAATGTATTTCAGTTGCTACATAGCCTGCAACATTTTAATGCAAAGGTCGCCGTCAAATTTAAACGTTTTAAACGTGGTAAACTAGCGAAAACAGGAACGGCCGTTTTAAACTAATGAAAACTACTATATTTTTCGAATTTTTCTACTAATTTTACTACGGAAATTTTCGAAAAAATAAAGGTTTTGGCAAGAAAATGTGTTCCGGACCGGATTGACCAATCAATTCCAGTAAATTTTGATCGCGTTCACCATTCCTGATTAAAATCAACCTCCTCTTCCTTCAATTTATTTTATTAATATCAATTCAATGCACATTGGTTATGAAATTCTAGCCTTTATTAATTTTACTTTTCAAAGTAAATCAACCATATAATGCATGAATTTTGGTGATTTAGCAGCAAAAAAGTTGGCATCATTTTGATGCAAAGGCAGCCGTCAATCTAATGTACGTAAATCAACTTAATTTAATTTGAAGCATTACCACAAGAAAAGGTTGTCCAAAAAAATATGTTTTGACAAAAAAAAGCCTAAGATTTTGTTACGAGTTGGGTTATTGGTCATAGTTCTCGAGTACTAATTAAACTCAACAACCTGATGCTTCAATTCTCATACCAATTATTTTATCAGTGGCTATTAAATTAAATGCTAATATTTATTAATTTTACTGTTTATAAACTGTTTCAACCAAAGCTTACATCTTCTATTCTATGAATCATTAAAAAGATATAAAAACGAAACAAAGCAACGATCGATGCAAAAAAGCTAGTAAACGTTTCTACTAGCACCTTCGATCGAAAGTCCGACCTTGCTCAAATTCTGCTTTGGAAAACCTAAACTTAATAAAATGTTAAAAAAAATAAAATAAACCATTACTCACGAACGTAATGCCTAATTTTAATTTATTTTTACTGCCAAATAGCCTGAAACATTTTAATGCAAAGGTGGGCGTCAAACTTAGTATTTTTAAAGGTTACAGCGGTGCGATTTAATTCAAACAGGAAAGACCCTTACAAACTTTACCACAAAAAAATCTAGTGACAAATCTAGTGAAAAAATATGTTTTAGTAAAAAATGTTTAAATTTGGGTTATGAGTTAGGTAATTTCCAGTGGCATGTGTATAGAATTCAACCGGGTTCAGAATATTTATGAGTACAGATTTAATATTGTCGCTTAACCGCTAGTATGGAAAAACAAGAGCTTCGTAAATTTTTAAATAATTAAATTTTTTAAACTTAAGATAAAAATGTGGAAGCAAAACGGTATATTTCCAGACGCGCTCTATCCCGGCCGCCCACGACGTCCACCTTCAAAGTAGTGCCCTGACGTTTCGGCAGGGTTGGTTTGAAAATCATCCATGTCAGATGTACTCCAGAATTTTTACAGTCTTCTACAACATGGTTGGACGCAACATTTTTTCAAAATCCAATTTTTTAAAACTAGTGGTTGCTGTACGCACTTAGCAATACGTACTAATAGACGAATTTCATTTTTCAAGCTGTTCGGAGAGGATTGGCGCTAGGAACTTTTCAGAAAATGATGGTCCATTCCGACTGCTAACCTTTTGCACAATTTTTGGACAAAGTTATGCGAAACATATTTTTTGAAAGTAGCCAAATAGATTTTGATTTTTAATACATTTTTAATGATATTGATATGAATCTATATAAATCAATCGGAGTTATTGTATCGAATTCGTGAATTCAAGAGTAAGTAATCAATTTGTTTTATAGAAAACTGAATACAAATTTAATTGCGCTTTATAGAATTCAAATCGGTGAAAAGGGAACTTCCCGCTCCACCCCAAACCCCGCTTCAAACGCCAGTGATCGTGCAGAAAACGCTGCAGCCGCGGAAGATGGCTTTGAAAGCCAACAAACCGAGTCTTCAGGTAAGCGAATGTTTCATTACTGGGTGCACAGTTTCGCATGTTTTTCTAGATAATTTTTGCAATGACGAACATTCCCAAGATGTGGCCGGCCTGCATTTGCCACGTCCTATATTTTTTTAGTCATTAAAGGGGTTGTCAAGCCTCGGTAGCATTTGTAGGGCTTCATTATATTACGTTTACGGTTTTTTTTGATGCGCTTTGCTTTATTTCGTAGCAACGAATTACTGGAGCACTTCAAACTAGCCCACCCCATTTTCCTCTATTTCTTAAAGGGGCTCGAAAATCTGGTCCACGGCAAATAGCCAGATGCGACCGCAACGCGACCGCGCCTCATGACCTTTTGCCACTGTTTGGACGGGAAAACGCTTGAGTTTGAAAATCATGATGCTATTTCTAGAATACTCATTGAATTTTGAGCATTCTAGATTGGGTGTCTTGCAGGGCATGACGACGTGTAATCGACGCGCACTCAAAGTGTCGTTTTCGCCCCAATAACATTTCGGTTTTACTCAAATATTTTACGTTTTACGAAATCACTGTTCTGGTATTTCCCGGCAGTGACCTTTTCTTTTTTCCTGTAGGTTCAATCCCGCATACACGAATTTTAACTTCCGAGCCCCTTTAAATACAATGTTCCTGCCTAGTGTGAGGCTATCAAATATCGGCAAGTAATAATTCAGCGGTATTAGACGGTTGTCAGACCATTTCGACCAGTATGTCCATTCTTGCACGCACGAATTTTGACTTCCGAGCCCCTTTAAAGTATTGTTATTATGTTATTGGTGCCTGCGAATCATTTTCGTGAGCTAAAAATAACCGGTCCGCAATTTGTTTGAAATGTGCGTCTAAGAATAATGGAACTATTGTCACTTTCAATGCACTGGCGTTTGAGCAATTTTCTGAAACAATTGTTTTTCAACCGCGGCTGGCAATTTATATAGACGTTTCATTCTCGGGTATTTAGCTGCTTGCGCAATTAGCGGCAAAGACAATTTAGGTTTTCCCAAGTCCTTTGAAACATGGGGATTTTTCAATGTTTTATTAGTTCTCTTTCCCGCTCATTTTGTCGTGAATTTATTCTTTTTATTTATTCATCTATATAACTATCTTTTAATCCTGGATTAGAAGTAGAAATACCGCCGTTTCAAGGGCTTGCGAATGGTGTAACTATCATTACGATCCTATACTTCCGCGCCGAGTTAGATGGAGCTGTTTTATACTGGGACACCCTGTTAAACGCTACCATTTTAACTGTTGCAATTCAACGATTTTATTATTTATATACAATCTTTATTGTTAAATTGATAAGTTGTCTTGTTTGAGGACCATTTATCTGTATTGCACATCGAAAGACGAAACAGAGATTAAAGACGCAATAATCCGTTGATGGAGTTATTTTAGAGAAACATGAAATGTTAAGAAAAATATGGCACTGCTAGAAAAAATTGTTTGAACAATTCAAAAAAATTTTTCTGAACGTAAAAATCATTATAGAAAATTGCTATGTACAAACCAAGAAGAAATTCGATAAATTTATAAATTATCGCCGGGTGCCGTCCTCGAAAAAGACACCGCCGTCGATGGCGCAATACCTGGGGCAGATGCCCTTTTCGCCAAGAGGACCGTCGTTTCCGGATTGGCCGGACGGGCCGGGGTTTCCGTCCATGCCGGGGGCTCCTTGTGGTCCTAAGAATTTTATTAATCTCTCGCTCTCTCGCTCTCTCTCTCTCCATCTGTCTCGCTATCGCTCTCTCACTATCTCACGCTCTCTATCTCTCACGCCGCTCTCTCTGGCTCGCTCCCCCCTCTCTCTCTCGCTTTCTCTTTCGCACTATCTCTCACGCTTTAACTCTCTCTCTCCCCCTCTCTCGCTCTCTCTCGTACTCTCGCCCTCTCTCGCTCCCTCTCTCTCTCTCTATCTCTCTCTCTCTCAACCTACCGGGTGGTCCAGGCGGTCCTGGTGCTCCTTTCTGTCCCTCCACAGCCATTCCATCTTGGCCAGGAGCTCCAGGGGGACCGGGTGGCCCCGGAGGTCCGGGCTCACTTGGAGCCGAAGCTTCGTTTGCGCCGGCTTCTCCCGGAGCTCCAGGTTGTCCGTCGCCTCCCGGCTTTCCGGCCTCTCCGGGCGGACCTAAATAAACGGTATTTTCTCGAAGCTTTCTGGCTGGAGTTTTGGCCTGATACATACACTCGCTTACTAATAACGATCGGCCCTGCGTGCAGCTTAAAAAAGTTGTAAAACATGCATTTTCTTGAAGGACCGTGAGAAATTCGTCTAGTTTTTAAGTTCTTGTAATTTATGGAATGACCAAGCTTATCGAAACCTATAAAGAACTACGCTGAAGATTTGAGGAAAATGACCGGAAATTGGGAGAGTTATTAGGGTAGAAGAGCGAAGTTAAAAATGTATTTTTTAAATAAGTGACCTTGTTTTTTTTGTAAATTGTACTGATTTAAGTTGACATGCTTGGTAACAATTCCGTCGATCCATCCGAACCAATTAAAACCCACCAAAAGCCCCCCGATGTCAGATTTTTGCCAAATCGTATGGCGCTTATCAAACCAACGACCGATTAATACACAGTTTCCGCGCTTAGGTTTGAATTGTTTTGCAACATTTTTGTTATCATTGAAAATCAGGGCCAATCATTACCATGGATTCCATTTGAGCAAAAAGGAGTGAAAAGATCGGCATGTCAGACAAACGCAGATCAGAAAGTCGCTGATTATCTGGAACCTTGCGAATGCGCGAAACATGCTTTTTCCACCAAATAATACAGGGTGTCCAAAAAAAACGACCCATCTGGCATTTCGCCGGGTTACATCCAATCAGTGCGAAAATTGGGCCAAAGGTTTATCAGACCCTAAATAACAAGAATCCTGACATTTAGCCCTGTAGCTACAGTCGCTCTCGAGTTATAACGAAAATGCCGTTTTTCCCGGAATTCTGAACAGTTTTTTCGGCTATCTTTTTGGACTTTGCATCGATTTGCATCGACTTCCGGCTGCGAATCCTTAAATTCGTTTAAGAACTTGGGTAGTTTTGCGTTGTAAAAATCGCTTAAACCGAAGCTTATTTATTTAATTTTACTCTGGAAAAATTTCTTAGGGTAAAAAAGACCTGCCGGATCATTTACGCTTAATGTTTAGGGGGTCTAATTTCACGAAAACCCTATGAAAAATGGAAAACAAAGTTTGTTTTTGCTATAACTCGAGAAGTACTAAAGCTACGGGGCTAAAATTCAGGATTGTTGTTATTTAGGGTCTGATACACCTCTGGTCCAAATTTGAGGCCGATTGGATGCAACACGGCGAAATGCCAGATGGGCCGTTTTTTTTTTTGGGACACCCTGTATATGATCAATCTTTGTTTAAAGGAGCGGAGAAGCGAGCACTGTGCTGACGACTATAGTTTTTTATGCATTTTACCGCGCATGCCGCGTACGGCGTATCATTTCATTGCGTAATCGATAACGACCGCTATTTGGCGGCGAAGCGGATCATGCTTTATGTTGGTGGTACGCCCAAAAGCATCGCCAAGAATCTCAGCAGAATTGCCCTTCCCGTCCCTCTAAAATGTGCTGTTTGGGAGATGGGATTTCAACAAGCCTGCAAAGTTTTATGAATGATCGCACCAGTCACAAAGGATGGACCCATAGTGTGAAACACACTTTCTTCATGAGACGCCCACATATCAAGTGGAGTTTCAAGAACGTTAAATTTTTTCTAAGTGGTGGAATCGTCAGGAACGACTGCGACATGTTTGGTATCGATCGCGTATTTGACCAATCCAAGTCCACCAAGAATTTGGCGATTTTTTTACGAAATCATTTTGTCTTCCGATTAACACTCCGTTTCGGCTCTTAGATTTGAATTATTTTGCAACATTTTTTTGATCAGTTAAAAGGAAGGGCAAATCGGGGTTAGCGGGCGGAGCCCGCTAACCCCTTTTTGGTTTGAGGTACCCCCCCATACGACTCTTTTGGGGTCCTTTTCCGGATTTAAAAAAGAACCAAGCATCGGATCGCAAAACTGAATACACCATCGGAACCGGCGACACTTTTTACATACTATAAGCTTTTAAAAATTGAAAAAGAGTGAAATTTCGAATTTTAACAGCCGATTTAAATTGCGTTTCGAGGGGGGGGGGGGTCTGCGTTTGTATGTATGTATGTACGCAAAACCTTTGTAGTCGTCAAAAAGTGCCTTCCCACCATCCGTTTGGGCTGAAATTTTGCACACTTATTGGGTGAATGATAATCTCGGACCGCAAGAAGAGTTTTTTTCAAAATAGGCTTTAAAAAAATTTATATTTAATTTCTAAGTTTAGAAGCTAAATTGCGGTCAAAACAATGGTTATTGATGTCCGTTTGGGCTGAAATTTTGCTCAAATATACATTAGACCATGCTGGAATAAGTAAAGAAGAAATTGCAGCGAAAGAATGCTTCTTCTCTGAGATATTATAACTTTAAACCTTCGCCATACGGGGCGCCACCCTCCCCTTTGGCGGCCCCAGTCCGGAGTCAGGGCGGGCGGGTCTAGCTTCCCCAAGACAGGCCTCCAGTGTCCCCGTTGGCCTAGTGGTTAGCACGCTGTACTGGGAAGACATGGCTCCCGAGTTCGAACCCCACCCGAAGCAAGGTTTTTGCCGATTCGCCCCCGTGCATCCTTATGGTTTCTAGTGCCGTTACAAAGCGCCGCAGACAAATTTTTTTGAAGTTGTGCGTACAAGGGTTCATCTGAATGAGTATTCCTTGGCTTATTTTACGATCTTAACAATAAGATTGAGGCAAAAAGGGCTAAATTCTCTCTAAGGCTAAAAAGAGTCTTTTTAAAAAGGGGCTTTTGGTTTTCGCAAAAAGAGACGAATTCTCGTGGCAACAAAAAGAGCTAAATTCCTTTCAAACTCTTAAAAATGCCACAGAATGTGGGATCAACCAAAAGTTGCTGGCACCTTATTAAAATGGACAGATCCAGTTTTTAGCGGTTTCGGCTTGCAAATAATTTCTGTATTATGATCTATTTGCACTTTCTTGAAATTAATCTGTGGACCTGACCTGTGATCTGGGATGGTACCGAGTTTATTAAGGTTTTAAATAGCCAGCAACTTTTTGTTGTTCCCGCATTCTGTGGCATTTTTAAGAGTTTGAAAGGAATTTAGCTCTTTTTGTTGCCACGAGAATTCGTCTCTTTTTGCGAAAACCAAAAGCCCCTTTTTAAAAAGACTCTTTTTAGCCTTAGAGATCATCACCATGGATTGCGTCGCGCGGATACCTCTTTCGCCTGTCTTGCGTTAATCGAGAAAGTCCTGCGCTGAGATTTGAGAAAAATAGCCGGAAATCGATCGAATGATCTAAGGCTTTCGATTGCATCAAAGTCGAGCAGTTTCCGTACAGGGGCGTACGAGGGGGGCAACAGGGGCAAGTTGCCCCCCAAAATCGGCCGAAGGCCGAAAAGTTCATAAGGGGGGACCCTTATGATTTTTTCAATAAAAATTTTTCTGCCTGCGGCGCTGTTTATTACTGTTTTTAAGACGATTTTTACTTCTATGAAGCCTATTTTTCCAAAATTTTTTTTGCCTGCGGCGCTGTTTTTCATTAGTGTGTAAACTGTCCATATACAATTTTCGCCTGCGGCGCGTTTTCTGTGCTGTTTTTACATGAATTTGAGCGTTTCTGACCCTTTTTCCTTAGTTTTTGCGGCCTGCGGCGCTGTTAGAGCTGCGATTTTTCAATGTTTAGAAAGTGGTGACCGGGGGGGAGGTCGACAAAAAATTTTCGAGTTGCCCCCCCCCAAAAATCGGGTTCGTGTACGCCCCTGTTTCCGTATTTTTACGGATAACTTTCTATAAATCGGCTAGGCCACTCATTAAAATTATGACAATCGAGGTGGTTTTTCGCCGTGTAAAATACCTGAGAGACACCTTTGCAAAAACTGGTAATTTTACTGAAAAAGTCAATTCAGTCAATGAAATTGGACCAAATATTAACTAATTCCATGAGCAAGTTACCATTCCAATCGTCAAAACACCTTTTTTTGACCCTGGTTCGTTAGCGGGGGGTTAGCCTATGGGGGAATTTTTTCCGATAGGCTAAACCTCTCCTCCCTACCTTTCCTTTCCTATGTCTACGCAAACCAGACGAAGTTGCATTTGACCGATTCAAATTGGCCAACCAAATTTTTCTGCCGGATAAAAATTTTGCGCGTATTCGTTAAGCTTCACCCGAAGTCTTATGGTATCAATTAAGCAGCATGGAGCCGAGCAGTGGATATGCGTAAAATGCGGCAGATTGGAATTCATGTACTAATTAACGGGTTCCGGAAGGCCGACCCATCATGCATTCTCAAAACATGCAATTTTCTTTATGCCGAAATGGCCCTGCATTTTGCAAAGGGCTTGGCTGCGGACAAAGGTTACGATCCATGAGAACGTGCAACTAATGCCCGGAATTAAGTATTAATATAGCCTTAAGAGTGCAACACTTATTTTCTAGCCTTTATCTTCCGCATTTTTACCAACCGGATCAGTTCGATGAATCGGCTAGGCCACTCATTAAATGTATCAAATTCGAAAGACATATTAGTTTTGAAAAAACGCCTGAGGGACTCATTGTTTCCCTGCGAGCTTTCGAAGCGTCGAATTTGATGGAAGCGTCGAATTTATACTCGAGCAGCGCGTGCATTAAAAAAAAATAGCTAGGCAAGTGACCAACAGAATCTGCGAAACATATTTTTTTTGGTTCTGGTTCGTTAACGGGGGGGGGGAAGGCCACGCCCACTCCCTATCCTTTCCAAATGGTCCTATCGGGTGATGCTTATATCTACGCAGACCGGGTTAAATTACATTTAATCCATCAAAAATTTGCCAACAATGTTTTATGCTGGATAAAAATTTTGTGAATTTTGTTAAGTTTCATTCCGAAGTATTATGGTACCGCGGAAGCAGCCTCAAGCCGAGTATTGATACCTGACCTTTGTTCGCCATTCATATACAGCTAGAGATTAACGGATTCCGGCACGCAGACAAAACCCACATTCACGAAACATCAAATTATTTCGCCGGAACCACCCTTAACCCTATTTTTGGCCAATCGGTTTCCAGACAAAATGCTCTAGGATGCGGAGATTTAGGCCCGTAGATACCTTTAGGTTTGCAACAAACGAAACCCATACGTTTTTGAAATATCAAGGCTTCGCTCGCGTGAACGTCGAGCAACTTACGCCCGGCCTTATGCCTCGGACTAGCTCCGACGTGTTCAATTTATAAAATTAAAGCTCATATTCGCTTTCAAAGGTAGCGTGATAGGCACCTTTCGACACCATATTATACACCATAATCTCCCGATACGTTCAATTTTACTGGAAAATCCAACGCCGCACATGTATTGAAGCATTCCGAGGGCAGGATACCGTTAGAATCCGCGAATCATCCTTTTTTGATTATGGTTCGCTAGGGGGGGGGGGGGGGGAGGGGTGGGATTTGTCAGGAAAAGGGGCGCGCCCCGCCCACTTCCTCTCCCGTTGCAATGCAATTCGGAAAGGTTGAAAACCCCGAGAAAAGTTGGAAGCATTAAAAGCTTCCGATTCGTCAGCTAGCTTTTGAATTTTTGTAACATATCTTTTTTAGTTTTTGGATCTATTTAATATGAATTTTTCCTCGCTGAACCTTTTTGAAAAATGGCGAGGGTGAGCGAGAGTGGGAATGAGAAAGTGAGTGCGTGTGAGTGTGAGTGCGATGCAGAGCGAGCACGAGAAAGAGAAAGAAAGAGAGAGCTAGATCGAATCGAGATCGAGAGCGAAAGCGAGAGAGAACGGTAGAGATAGATAGAGAGTGCTAGAGAGAGGGAGGGTTTGAGCGAGAGTATGACTGAGAACGAGCGTGGGAAGACTAAGAATACGTCACAGAGAGTGAGAAAGCCATAGAAATAGGAGAGAATACAACGCGATATGCAATTCGCCAGCGCCAGCACCATTTTAAAGGGACGGTAACCACACATACCTGGTGGTCCAGGAGGTCCGGGTGGTCCCTCTCCGCTTGCAATCGCTGGTTCTCCATCATTTCCGGGTCCTCCAGGTGGTCCAGCCGGGCCAGGAGGCCCAGGTGGCCCTGCCGGACACGGCTTACATGGTGGATGGGCCATCGCCTCGCAGGGCATCATCGTCGATTTTCCGTGCGTTCCTAAGAGCATTATTTAAATTAAAAGACGGTCTAAGTTATTGTATTCAAAAAACTGATTATTTTCACGAAACCGGATGTTCTGATTTTAAGTTAATTGAACTTAAAATTAATTTAAATTGAAGGTATTATAAATTGAAGCAATTTAAATTTAAACTAATATAAATTTAAGTAATTAAATTTAAACCAATATGAATTTAAGTAAGTTAAGTTAAATTAATTAACCAAGCCCCATTGCTATAATACCGTAGGGCACAAAGAAGCGACTTTGCAATTGTGTGAAAGATAATTTTTTACGTCCCGTTTCAGGAATTTCGCGGTTTTGGTTTTTCTGTTTCGCCTTTTATTAGTGTTGGGTACTGGCGCAATTTTCCAATTGTTTTGATCTAAATAGAACAAGTGTTTCTAACCTGTTTTTATAGTCCGAAACGCGAAGCTTTACAGATGTTGATAGCAAAATACAAGACGTCAATCCTTCGATCAAAATTTTTATTTTTCAGAGTTTTTGAATTTTTTCGATAGTTTTCTATGTAAAATATAGCTAAAAATAAATTAAAACACTACTGCAAGTTTCTATTCGTTATGTTGTAAGTCCAAAAAAATGCCAAATAGCGTCATAGTAATTTTTATAATAGTGTTTTTGGTAAATTTGGCTATATTTCGAACGGAAAACCATCTAAAAAGCTCGAAAAATTTTAAATTTTAGTGGAACAATCTATCTTATGGTATTTAAGTAGTCTTAAGTAATCTATTATTTACAAAAATTTATAAAGTTTTTACGATTATGCATAGTAAAAAAACATTTTAACCATTTCCTCGATTTATCTTAGAAAAATTTGATCCAGTGGAAAAAGGTGGCACCCCCCCCCCCCGATAATGCCAAAGTACCACGGACCGCAAAAAAAGCAAAAAGCAAAAATGTTACCTTGACTTTAATTTACCATCAAAACACACCATGCATTCCATGAGCTCCTGGTCGGCCGGGCCTTCCGGGTCTTCCGGGCGTTCCGGCAGCTCCAGGTGGTCCTGTTTTGCAGCAGTGTCCACATCCGGCTCCGAATCCGGAAGCGGCTGTTGAGCCTGATCCCGATCCGGATCCACTTCCGCTTCCGGAGTATGATCCAGCTGCGCTTCCACTTCCGGAATGTAGACTTGAAGCTGTTCCGCTTCCGGACGTGGGCCCAGAAGCTGACCCAGGCCCTATTCCATGTCCGGATCCGGATAGATCGGCTAGGGTTTGTCCGGCCGTGCCAACCAAATCTGGCCCATGTTGTCCGTCATTAGTGCGCGTACTTCCGCTTCGAGTATTGTACGTCTGAGGCCCGGGGTTGTATGCCTAAATCGAAATTCTCCTTAATTTAATTTAAATTCATGGAATTTGGTTTTTATGAACTTTTACAGTTCGTTGTATGCATCCTAACTATTCCAGCAACACTGAAAAGACCCAAATTCAACGATGAAACTTTGATTTTTAACGTTGTTTTTACCCGGCAGGAAAGAGGAACCGGTTCAAAAAATGCTTGTGGCCGGAATGACCGAAATTCCCGGAAAATAAACATGTTTTTCCGGCGACAAAAAAAGATCTTTGTATATTTCCGGCCCTCTATCGCATGGCATTTGCAAATTAACGAAAGTGTTCAAAATGCCGAAAATTTCGATTCCCTCCGTTTTCCTATGTGGCGCAGATGGTTTTCAAGCAAATCAATCTATTTTGGCTCTAATTTTGAACCCCTGTGAAAACTAGCGCAATTTTTGTCGACAACAGTGAAACATGCATTTTGTAAAGCATCTAAAGTTCTCAAAATGACGTACTAAATTAAGCTCTCGCTTCCATGATGTTTTCAAAAAAACAGCCCGAAGCAAAACAACAACGAAATTATTCCAGCAGCACCAGTAATGCCCAAATTCGAAACCGAAACTTCCGTTTTTAATTTTTTTTAGGAAGGGAACTTTTCAATGGCGCCTAATTTTTTACGTAGATCACTGTAATTGATGTATCGGGCTTGACAAGTAGAATCGAGAAGAGTTTCTTTTGGACGACCTCGCTTGATTTTCGTCTTAATAAAAAAATGTTTCACCCACTTACCTGAAAAATTACCGAGCATGACTGGTAGTGGTGAATCAGGTCAGATCAGGTGAATCAGTAATAGTGTGGGCATTTGGCTCGGCTCGAAATTCGAGCGGCTCGAATTTAGAACCTTTTTATCGACTATTATTCTTACATTATTATTGATTATTATTACAATTATTATTATGACATATTACTTCCCTTTTCCATTGTAAATTTTTTGGTTTTTTTTTGTAATTTTGCCCACCTGTCTGGCCGTCCGGTTCTTCAGCTGCCCTTCAATTTGGTTGATATTCGACCAAATGTCGGTGGCCGAATCCTAAAAACCCTATTTTTGCATAAATTTTGAAAATTGAAAGGTTACGGCCAATCCTGGTCATTTAAGGTAATTAAAGCGGGGGGTTAAGACAATTCAATAAATATCTGATTGAATTCAATAGATACCTCCATCCCCCTGTAAATTTAATGCTTCAAGTTATTGCCATGTTTACTTTTAAGAAGTATTTTAATTTTTTCATGATACCTGCTTGGAATTTCTGAAGGTTTCTGAGTTTAGGCCCGCGACAATTTCGTTACTAAATTAAATTAAAAAATTATGTCTGAATTAGTAGATGATTAAATTCGTGATCAAGAATTAAGATATTGGATATTTCGTTACCAAAATTTTTTTATTTTTATTATTTTATTTTTTATTTATTAGTGTTTTCCAAATTTAATGTTTCAATGAATTCCTGGACTAAATTTTTGGGATAGCACTTAATCTCCAGCGATGCAAGCTCAAATTGCACTTGTCTCCCCAAATTTCCTCGTTGAAAAAAACAAAAAATCTTAATTTTTATAAGAAACAGGGTAGGTATCATGATCGGTGAAAGGTAAATGTTTCGTTTCTCTCATATGCACCAAGGAAGTCGAACGACTTTAATTGGCTCGGGATCTATATCCAATTTCTTTGGTTCCAAAACATGCTTTTCACATTAAAAATGATTCAAGTAATTTCTTGGCTTATTTCTGGCATGGTTCTTTAATAGGCGATTTCTCACATTCGTTTAAATCCTCTAAATCCATCATTGCAACGAGAAAGGTGCCAAATCCAGAGTTTTAAAAAAATGCATGCTAAAATTCCAGTAAAGGAATAAGGTTTCGTTTAATAATTATCGATTCTTTACTTCCAAAAAATCTGTAGCAAGGTAGGGTTTGGTCTTCGCGGGACGCTTTTGAAAGTTCGATCAACTTGAATAACGCTGAATTTGTTTGGCCTGACTTGTTTTTTTAGATTCCGACCACGATCGGGTTATAAAAATCGATATTTCGAGCAAACCCAGGCACAATTTTCAGAAGGAATTTTTATCTGGTGTTTGCAACCGCAGCGGTCCGGCAAAATTTTTCCAAACTACGCTGCGCCGCTATAACAATTGTCGCTTAATTCGATTAGACGCTGAAGGTTTTTCAAAATCTATGTTTCAAAAATTTTTCGAAATACGAGTTGATGAGTGTTAATACTCCTCCTTGCCGACATCCCTCAGGATCTTGCGCTATTTTGCCTTGTAAAATCCGGTTAAATTAGCCTAGTCTTGGGTGGATTTTCACCATGAAAAAATTTCTGGGATAAAGTAGCGTCGCAGCATCACTTTCACTGGAGATTTGAAGAGTCTATTCCACCGAAAACCTTATGAAAACGGATATTGCCGTTTATTTTTGTTGTATCTCGGGAACTACCGTCGCTCTTGGGTAATAACTCAGGATTGTGGTTATTTAGGGTCTGATACACCTCTGTTTCAATTTTGGGGACAATCAGACCTAAGGTGGCCAAATCCCGGAAGGTTCCTTTTTTGGAACCTGTCCCTAAAGAAAAAAATTGTGTAAATTCGGCAAGAAAAACTCAAATGAGGTGAGTGAAAATCCGATGTTTCCGTTTACCATGATGTTATAAAATTTTGGCAAGCTATAATGCAGTGAGATGCTATCGATATTCTAAAATTCCCACTTACCTTGCAATACTGTAGATTTGTGTCGACCATCTTCCTCGCCCTCACCATATACCCGTAGACCATCGGCAGGGTGGTGAAAATCGACACCATGGCCACGACGCAGAAAAACACCGCGGCCCCGGCCACGAAACGATACGCCTGGAATCAAAAACTTTTATTTTGCAGTAATTTATGTTGTTTAATGTTTTGTCGTCAAGTTAGATTCATTTTAATTCTAATTCTAAGTGATTCTATTTTCAACGTTCCTTACATTACAAGTTGTTAATAATAATCATTATAATGCCCTTGACTCCCGCGAAAAATCAAAGTAGCCCAATATTTTGGGAAATTACTGTATTAACCACTCATTTTTTATTAACCGACCGTGAAACATATTTTTTACCCACATTTTTGCCATTTGGCATTTCTTAATTCTTCATTTTTAGCTCTATGCTAGCTTGAAAAAAAGAAAGAAAGAAAGAAAAGTGAAAGAAAGACTAACAGCGGGCAAATAATTCTTATTCTCCAAGATTATTTGTGAAAGATGAATTTAACAGTTGATTAGATCGAATTTCCTTCCATTCTGTTCGGAATTCCGAATTAGATCTTCAATAGTTATAGAAGCTGCGTATATTTATAAATTTACGCCTTAATATTTAAATCCAGAAGATAGCAGTATCCTAAATCGGAAAAAATTAGCGTTTCAAGAAGATATCGAGTGGCGAGCTCTTAACTTGTCGCATTCTCGATTAGGATCCTTCCTATTTCTACACGCGCAAAAAACACTGCGGCCTCCGCGACCGAACGGTATGCTTGGTTAAAAACCTTTTTTCATAATTTTACAATGTTTATTTTTTGTCGGCCAGTGAAAGCTGTTTGTCGAAATTCTATTTTCAACGTTCTTGAATTATTTTGTAGCTTGTAGCTGAGCAGGACTAATCGCCACGTTGCCCATTTCATATTTTTTAACGGACGCTGATACATCATTTTTGACGCAATTTTTTTGTTTTGCATTTTTTAGCTTTCATCTTTCTTATTTATTGGAAAAGCTTAAGGCAGGGCATCATGTCATGGAGTACTCGAGGGCTAGTTATTAAAAACAAACATTTTGAACAATAGATATAATTCCTTTGGTATCGCATTTTCGATAAAAATTGGTGTTTCACGAAGGTTCGCGTGTTTGCTGATCCAAAAATTGATCATGCCAGGCTCTTAAACGCCGTACAGAACCTACGAAACATTTTTTAGTTAATGGACTACTCTGTATTGAATTTCGGTTCAAAATTTTTGTTGGGAGCAAACCGTGATCAATTATTACTCATTAGAAGGAGTATCAATTTTCCGAGACCGAAAATTTATGAAACGTCGTGATTCGAGTCTGTAAGAACCAAAAGTTACTAGAATAAGTTACTAATATAGCTTATTATAGAAAAATTCTTAGGAAGCTGAGCATTACAAACTTCAAAGAAATTGGTGTTTCGAGAAGATATCGCGTGCCGAGCACTTAGTTTGTCATAATTGACTCTTGGTCTGCTGTTGCTGTTCTAGAGCCTATTGTTACACAGGCCTTTTAAGGTTATCCTAAAAATTGAATATGCAGAAATCTGAATCAGAAATAAAATTAAGTAATGGATTGCTGCGTATTGGATGCGTTTTTTTTATGATAGCACAATTGTAAACCTTAAATGTTCATATTAAGAAGGACAAATATTTTTTTACTTCCGTGGTTTATGGAACATGGTTTTTTCAACCCTTTGCAAACCGCCGGATGGTCACTGGAGTTTTCCCCGATTAGACATCTTGATAGCTGTGGAATATTTAGTTATTTCATAAACCAAGTTGCTGTTCTAAAAATCCGTGTCTTTCCTGACTTATCTTTTTTGAGACCGAAAATTATTTTTGAGAGAAAGGGAAATTTGTTCCCCTTGGATGCAGAAGTTCACAAAACCCTAGACATATATTAGTCCCCGCGACATCATCAATCATAATTTTTAAATGCATTTAAATCGAAGTGTATTATTTTCACTTGATTTTGGTCCCATAAAATGGGATTTCTTGTGTATTTGAAGTAATAATGATTAGAATAAACTACAGAAAAATACAAATAACGTCAGGGCTAGGAGGATAAAAACAGCAAATTTTTACTATTCTAGCTTATAAAATGAAAAAATACCTTAATCTTCGCCTCGATGTCGCCCATCTTGGCTGGGATGGTAGCGAAGTTAAAGAAAAGCCGAGGCGCTCAGATTACTGCCTTTTTATGCCTTACGTTGATGACATGGGGGTGGGGGAGTGGATAATCCTGCCTTGGGGCAACCTTAGCGGGCAAACAATGTGATAGCCGGCGAAAACTGGTTATCGTATCGCTCTCTCTCTCTCTCTCTCTCTCTCTTTTTCTCTTTATCTCTCTCTCTCTCTATCTCTCCCTATCTCCCTCTTTCTCTAACTGACTCACTTGATCCGAACAATGAATGCCATGTCAAGATATCTGGTTCGGATGTAGTCACTCGATTAAAGGCAGCGTGCCAGCAACCGAAAAATTTTTGAACGGCATCGGGAATTGAAAGACAGCTCTGTTTCGGCCCAGGGTATAATTAATGCTAAATTTAAATTTTTAAGCAAATCGTTGGATTTTACCGCTTAAAAACCCACCGCAAGTTTCGAAGCATCAGAAAAAGTGGTGTTTCATAAAATTTTATAGTTTGGTATTCAGTTTTTATTCTAATCGGCAAAACTGATTTCTCCACTAGAACTTCACAAAAAAAATTTTAGTAAGTCGGATTTCAAAGCAAAAGTTTCTGTTTCTGCTATGTACTGGGCTCCTGGGGGTGGTTGTGAGCAGTTTGGACTTTTAGAAATCGTGTTAATTGTTCACAGCCCGAAACAATACGTTTGTCCGGCTAATACAACCCCTTCACCTGGGGTTGTATAAAAAAATAGAATCCCTGGGATTTTATTAGGGGAATTACGGCACCTGCTTTTATTATCGATTACATACATACCAATTTACTGGCTGAATAATTCTAACAACCTACATGCTGAAAAAAAAGTTTCATCAAATTCCCGCTTCTGCGGTGGGACCTGTCTTTTAATATTGCAGTTTTCATTGGTTCAAAGGTTAATTAGGCAACATTTAATTAATGTCGTCTACTTTAGGCCTTCTAAAGCTGGAAATTCGGGGGTTGTAATTCCCAGTAAAATTGCAAGTGCAGGCACGGACATTCGTTCGGCTCATATAGCGATTATTTAGTTGGTAGCTAGCGCTAGGGCGGCCGATTTTTCAAACACAATTTTTTGCTGACTTTTTGGACGTCACCGAGAATTTCTTATGTTTCGCCAAATATGGCCATCATTTTCTGACATTGTTAAGCAGTAAGTGCTGCTTAGTTTGTCCGGGCCTTCCTGATCCCTTCAATAACTATCAGGTTGGAAAGAAAGTAACGGCACAAAATCTTTGAATCGCTGGTAAAACCCGCAGGAACGTCCGATTTGTAAGTTTGATATATGGTTTGGTGGATCTTCGGATGCTCTATCACGATACGCCCCTGAAAGTGTCTAAAAACTGACGTGGGCGAAGATACAGACCTCAGAAGTTCAGCAGAAAATTGAGTGAAAGCTTCCAAGCGAGATATCTCTGCATCCAGGCATTTGCATACGATACCGTTAACACCAATCGAAAGCCCTCGAGGAGTAGATATCGATAGATGTTGAGATCATCAAAATCCGACACTGGATGGCCGAGATATGGCCCTTCCAAAATCAATACATTTTCTGGACTTTGGTTCTAAAGCTGAAGCAAACGTAGCAGTTTTTGGCTCGCGCCGGCCAAAATGTATGGGATTTCGAGAAAAGTTCTAAAAAGTGGACCAAATTTCTAGGGGGCATATCTCGGCCATCCACTGTCCGATTTTGATGATCTCAACATTTATCGATATCTACTCCTCGAGGATTATCGATTGGTGTTAAAAGTATCGTATGCAAATGCCTGTATGCAGAGATATCTCGTATGGGAGCTTTCACCCACTTTTCTGCGAAACTTCTGAGGCCTGTATCTTCGCCTACGTCAGTTTTTAGGTGCTTTGACGGTCGTCTTGTGATAGAGCATCCGAAGATCTACCAAAACATATATAAAACGTTCAGATCGGACGTTCCTGCGGGTTTTACCAGCGTTTCAAAGATTTTGTGCCATTACTTTCTTTCCAACCTGATATGTTTCGCCGAGATGTAGCTCCAGCTAGTTTTCTTTGTCTGGGATTAGTCTCCACCTCATTGAGCCTTCTTGTGAGATTTTTCTTGTGTTAAAATGGATTTATGCTTAGTTTATCCGAGAGCGGGTGATTTATTGCCTGATTCCTTTCAAGGAGTGGACAAGGCTTGTTGTTATCGATTTGATGGAGCTGAATTCCTGAACCGTGCCAAACAACGCACGCTTCCTGTCTTTAAGTGCGTAATCGATTACGACCGTAAAATCCGAACTCCGTCAGGCAGGCACGATGCGTGTCCCGGTCCGACAAAAATCTTTGGGTGACAGAACATATAAGACCCCTAAAACGCATCTAAATAAATTTGTAAGGAACAAAATTTTGGGAAAAACACAATGTTTCAGCGGCCTCCAGTGACCCTGTCCCTCCTCTCCACCCCAACCCTGCGAGCCGCCAGCCCGAATTCGTGGGATGCCAAGCCGGCGGTGGTTTTATTACAGGTAAAATCATTAAAAGTTGTTAATAAGTATAGCTGTACTTTTATTAAATATACTTTTTAGGGTTTAAAAATTTAAAAATTTTTTTTGGCGAAGTAAAACCCGAATTACACAGCACGATTTTTTCTTTAGGATGGAGCCTGCAACATATTAATTAACACTGGGCTGCCGAGTCAGGGACCAGAGATCGTTGAAGGTATGTGCAACAGTTTGTTACTATTTTTTAAATACGTGAGATACTTTACCTTTAGCGTTTTCCGATGGTAAATAAGTATTTTTGTATTTCCTCTAATTTTTGTATTTTTTTTTGTAAATGATCATACCCTAGTCCTGACTAGTTACAAAAGCTTTTTGTTATTTTCCACAAATAGTCAGCGGCGCGTGCGCGCTGCGTGTGCCGCGGGTAGCGGGTGCTGCAAATGCCATCCATTTCCCTCAAGCCAACAATTTTGCTCATTAAACGTTGCTGTAATTTTCCAGCCAGGCTTAGTGGGGAAACACATTTCTTTAACTTCACAAAAGGTGCTGGACTGTTAGCGGGGGACCAATTTTTTGTTTTTTTCTTTCCGCCTTTACAGGTTGAAAATACGTAATGTAGGTTTATCAGGGTTTTAATAATTTCGGCTGCTAAAACGCTAGTAAAAAAATGTGAAAATATTTTAAAATTCGAAAAGTTTTACGAGCTTTTTTACAACAACAAGGGGTTTATATTTCGCTACAGGACCGTAAGGAATTACTTTAAAAAATCCGACTCCCCCCGCTAACAGCCCGGCACCAAAAAAACCTAAATGTATCCGAGTCCTGAAATGGCTGGCTGGCTGAAATGCCCTGGCTTTCCTGCTACTTTGATACAAGTCGATGATGGCCTTCTGCTAATAGCTTTAAATGATTACTTCTAAAACCGCGATTGACCACGGAATGGTGTTTCAAAAATTAGCCTGCCTAATTTCAAAAATTTGGAGACATTGCATTTCACCAGGCATGCTCATATTAAAGCGATTTTAACACCATTACCGTACTCTAGGATGCAAACATTTAAGTCAGGTTTTTACATACCAAAGATTAATTTCCAACCTATTTTCTTGTCGTTTCAGAATTAACGTCGCGACGAATCTTCGACGCCCAATTCACCGTCGCCACCTCGCCGCATCTCCAGTTTAGCGGCAATCTGAATTTGTTCCCGAACGCCCAGATTATCGGTTGGTATCTGCGGGAAATTCGTTTAGATTTTAAGAAACAGAGAAATCTGGAAAATCAATACTACTATCAATACTACTAATACTAATATCAATAATTAATAAAAAAAGTGTTCCGCGGAAGGACCATTAAAACTTGCAACACGATCAGCTAATCTGCATGCTTTTCAGCGATCTAATCAAAGTTTTTGTCGGTGGCTTAGAACCAAAAATCGAATCAAATCAATTTTCTGAAGAGATTTTTAATCATAATTAATGCCATAAGTAAAAATTAACCAATTTTGCTGTAAAGTTAGCTACTATTTTTTCTTACCGTGAGAACCGAACAATAGTTTTGATTCGCTGAGTGTTCTAAAAATTTTTAGCGCCCTGGATTAAACGGGAATAAATACTATTAAAAAGAGTATAAAATGTTTAAAAATCAGTTGACTGTGGTATAAACTTTAAGTAAAAATGTTTCTGGGCACGAGGTGTAAAACCTTCAACTTGACCATTTAATCAGCCGCAAGAGTATAAAATGGTACAGTACTGTGCGGAAGGAAAATATATACCTAAAAATTTTACACATACCTATATTCAGGGGCATAGCCAGAAAAAAATTTCGGGGGGGGGGGGGGGGGCCCGAAAAATTTTTTCGAAAAACTCAAAAGATTAGGGAGAAAACAGCGCCGCAGGCGAAAAATTTAGGTAAAAAAGGCTATATAGCTCTACAAATAGCAGTAAAAACGTGAAAAATAGCGCCGCAGGCAGCAAAATTTTTGAGAAAATAAAAATCATAAGGGTCCCCCCTTATGAAATTTTCGGGCCCCGGCCGATTTCGGGGGGGGGGGGGGCATCGGGCCCAGGGGGCCCACCTTACGCTACGTCCCTGCCCATATTCACAAATACAATAAAATGCCATTTTCAACTTTAAAATGATTAATTTTTATAGAAATTCAAACGTTTTTTTCGGAAAACTCTGCTTTCTGAATTAACTGCAACACTGTTTCAGTCTTTGACGTATTACTGCCACCAAGACTAAGCAGTGCTGGTTGTGTACATCATATTGCAATAAATTTTTTTTAGCCATTTTTAGTTTTAGTAATAAAACATATTAACCGCAGCTGGTAGAGTTATATGGAACCAGCGCCCAAAACCCGCTTCGCGGGCCTTGGGCGCTGGGATGCGGCCTTTGGATGAGAAATGTGACTTTCCGAGAGCTTGGGTCCTTCGGACCCCCCCACACGCTCGCGTGCATCTCGCAAGAATGAGGAAATTTGTATTTTTGCACATTATGCAAATTACCCCAAAAATGAATCAAACCGGCTTTAACTTTGTAAACTTGTATTTTATCGAAATTCTGAGAACGCCATAGGAAACAGAAGGGTCGATTCCCCCGGGTGACGGAGAATTGGGCGGTTTTGAACACGGGAAGGCCCTCAAATGGGTCCTCGAAACTGACATCCACACACACACACAAAGATACACGCCAAAATTATATAAGGTAGGATAAAGCTAATTAAAAAAAAGAAATAGTGTTACTTTAACCAGTTCACGGGGCTAGAATTTTTTGAAAAGAATGTTTTGGCGCTCTCTAGTTAAACCTTACAGCCAGGCAAGCTAATCCAGCCTGATTACCACAGGAGTCTCTTGAAATCAAAGTCTGTCCGGATTGTGGTAAAATGCCACGAAGCTAAAAATATATATGCCTATCAATTCCCGTCCCTATATAGCGCCGTATTATATTGGCGATACCTTTACTATAAAAATTGCCCAAGCTAAAAACTTAAGTGGATTAATTGTGTTTTCATAGCTAAAAAAGTGTAGTATTTCACTGCATAAAACTGCTGGTTTCTTCCACTAGTTGCCACGATGTTTCAATCCTTCGGGTGTTGATTAGTGATAAGAACTGAGCAATGAGCATGTCTTTGCTTTGGGGTTTATAAAAATTGATACTATCCGAATTAGTTCCCAGATTATCGCTTGGTTTTTTAGTCAAAACAAGGTTAATCTTCAAAGAAAGAAAAAGACGTAAAATCGGATAGCCCGATAACTGAAGTTATCAAAAAATGTTTCGCGACCAGATGTTTAGAAGTTAGGATTTCGTTAAATAATCTTCACATCTGCCTGGGAACCGAAGTTTTTGTCGGCAGATCAAATTCGTAGTAATTTTCATTTCAATTATTGTCTAGGGCACCTTCAATAAAAATTTTTTTGAATGTCATAATGAAATACAAATTTTACAAAAATTATAGCCGGACTGACAATGAGAATTGGAAATTTATCAGATAGCCGGAACAATGTTTCAGTCCTTGGGATATTGACTTTCCATAAGGAAGAAGCAATTGTTTCTCGCACAGAGCATTATAAATTTTTTTTTGGTGCTCTGAATTTTAGGGGAAAAGTTTGGCAAGCAATAGAACATTGTTAGTCGTAGATTTATAAAATTGGTATAAAAAATACATCGGTTGACCGCGCTAAAAACTCATTTGAAAAATTTTTAAGGCGGTATAGGCAAAACTTCTAGCTTGACAAGCTAATCTCCTCTCGTTTGCGCTTTCTGGCGATTTGAGTGATCTGACAAGGAGTGCTTTTTTTGAGTCATCTGCAAAACCTTACGAGACCTAGCTCATTCGATAGAGAATTCGATTCTGAACAAAACCCCGTTGTTCTTTTTTGCAGAATGGCTATCCCTGATTTTATAAAATTGTAAAACTGCACCCAAAAGGCTCTCTTTTGGCTCGAAAGGCACTCATGGTAAGGGACGGTCACTAGTATTTTAATTTTATAAAATCAGGGATAGCCATTCTGCAAAAAAGAACAACGGGGTTTTGTTCAGAATCGAATTCTCTATCGAATGAGCTAGGTCTCGTAAGGTTTTGCAGATGACTCAAAAAAAGCACTCCTTGTGAGGTTATCGGTTGGTAAATTAGGAAAAGTGATTTCGGTTTTTAAAAAAAAGTAAAAGCCAGAAATTAATAATAGAGTGGCCGGCTTGATAAAAAAGGTTTCGCGGCCGGATGTGTCAAACTTACGACATCACAAACTAATATGCGTCCATTTTTGTTCGTGATCTTCTTTGAATCGATGTTTTGGCGAGAGATTATATTCGGAATATCCTACTATCTATAAAAAATATATATAAAAAAATAATGTCTGTGTGTGTGTCCGTGCCACTTTGCATGCAAGTTCCGTTATTCTGTCCGGAGGATATCTCGGAAAGGGAAGGTTTTTAAGGTTTGTTTGATACGTCATTAGATGCGTAATGGTCTGGAGATGACTGCACACATATGCGATTTTAAAAATTCAGCTGTTTTCGACATTAAATTTAAGTTTTTGTAAAATTCTCGGCCGCCCACTTAGCAAAAATTAGCATACGCAGGAAGTTGCAGTAGCCTATATATAGGGAAAGAGAGATCGTTTCTCATTATTTTTCATCGCAGTTAGGGCATATTATGGGACGTGAAGAATTTCATGGGTCAGTAGGGACCAGGGTTGAAAAGTCGCGAAGCGGCTTTTCAACCCTGGTTCAATCTAATTATTTTCTGGGGAAATTGATGACGATTAGAAATTACGAAAATCCTGGCCGATTCGAGGCTTAATGAGAATTTAATAACTGGTCGGAACAATGTTTCAACCCTTGGGATAGTGGTTTGCCGTCATCAGTCAGTAAAATTCGTGTACCATTTGTTTTTGCGAGATCCGACAAAAATTCGTGGCAATATTAGTCTGTTTCTGATTGTCAAGTCTGTTGGTTTTCATATTAAGCGAACTAAGCTAATTTTTTGTAAGAGAGGAAAGGGTTAAAATTAAAAAAGATTTTTTGGAAGCAAATGTTTCCCTATATAACAATATGCGTCAAGTTAAAAAATCAAGCCGTCCATGAGCTGCTAACTGATATAACGTGCATTAATTCCAGTTTAGGAGAAGGAGATTCGGGTCATTTTTTTATTGGTACCTCGCCAGATTGTGCCGAAACCATATACGATATTTTTAGGTCGTTGCTTTCTGCTTTTACTCTTGAAATTTATTTCTGAGTGTCTTAATGAGAAATTTGGAGTTCGAGAGCTTTTAAAATCTTAAAAAAAATTGGTGTTTCACGTCATGGTTTACAAACATTTCATAAAACCGAAACAATAGTACATCGGCAGGCTTGGCCATGTTGGTATCGGGTACCCGGATCGGATCGGATCGGCCGGATCGGTATCGGATGCCGATCCCATGGAGCCCATGCCGATCCGATCCGATCCGATACCCGATCCAGATCCGGCGGATCGGCATCGGGGTCCTGACTTTTATAGCGATTTCCCATGCAAACAAGATTTTTACTGATTTATGCCAATATTTGGTAAAACTTTACTATGCCGATTTTCGCTGTGCCGATTTGCGGTATGCCAGTTAACGGTATACCGAATTTTCGCTACACCCAATCTCGCTAGGCCGAATTTTCACTATGCCAATTTTCGCTATACCGATTTTGTGCAATAGGTGAGTGTGTGTGTGTAATGTATGTATGTAGTGTGAAAAAGGCAAAATTCATCATGGTGAAAGGTATTATACCGATTTTTAGCAAGCAGAATTCCATTAACATCTACTTTTTGGATTTGCATCAAAATCCGATACTTCTGGATCTATCCGGATCGGATCTGGATAGCATCCGGATCGGCATGCAAATTAGTCCGATCCGATCTGATCCGATCCGATCCGATACGATCCGATCCGGATACCCGATACCAAAATGACCAAGCCTGTATATGGGTGGTATACAAATTTATTTTTAGCTGGCCGCTGGCACGCGCGTGACACGAAGATGACGCGCTGGAATACGGGCTTGGTGGGCATTTGAAGATCAAATTTGTTTTATTTATTAGTAGGGTCAACCTAGGAGCATTCAAGCAGTAAGGCAGACTCAATAGCGACTCTCTTGTTTTTTTTTTGCTGAAACATGAATTTCTAAATTTTTTGAACGCTCTAGTTTTTAGGGTTATCGTATGGACCTTTGCTCTCAATCCACCTACACCATCCCAACGCCAGGTATATTTTCGATTAAAAATTTAGGTGAGACTTTACTTTACCGCCCTCCCTCCACCAAGGGGTCTCAAAGTTTTCGGCATTTTCGCTATTTTTCTAGGGGATTTTGAACACACCATTCGATAGAGCGTCGAAAAAAATATGCTAAGGGTTTTAATTTCAGCCTACAATAATGTAAAATAAAAAAAAGTTATATCCAAAAACTTCCGGCTGGGGGGGGGGGGGGTAAAGAAAAGAGTAGCCAAAATTTATTTAGTTGTTTTCAGGCCCTTCTGAAGACGCGATCACGTGCCGGCGATGGGTACGGTGGCCATAGTTGGTAAGCCTTAAAAATATTTAAATTTCGATAAACGCTGAAAACATCCTGGCCGATTATAAACTCGTAATTCTTTATTTGCGTTAAAAATCTATACCTTAAATTTTGTATGTTGCAAAAATGTTAGGATTTCTGAAATGAATTTCATTACCAAGGCGTGGTCGCGAGTCCATTGCTTACATTCAATTGTCTTTAAGCGTCAGTCGCGATTGTATTTCTCTCGTTTCCTTAATTTATTCGTTTTTGACTTTAGGTATTTTTAAATATTTACAAAGTTATATATATTTATAAAATTGTTTTGCAGATCATAATTCGGTATTTATCGGGGGGGATTTATCAGCGGCAAACCTTCTTTATTGTTGACTTTTTCGAATTGAGATAGAAAAAGTGTTGCTAAGCTGTTTTTTACGATTATTACATCCAAACACTTATTATTACGTTACTACAGATGATTCTGGACTTCTACAAAAAAAATCGGCTTTGCCTGATCTCCGCTGAAAAGACAAAAGTACCATAATTAAATTAGAAATTAAATATTTGACTAAAGCTTTTCAGGACTATTATTCCCGGAGGCTGAGCCGCTCGAGCGGATATCAACTCTCTGGACTACCAATGTTGCAAAAACGATTCAGTCGCGTAGAATTGTGAGTTTCAAGGGAAACTATCGAGAAAACGCCTCACAAAGGCCTTATTATGCGGTGTGGAAAATCATTTTTGCACAAAAAATCTCCGTACAAATCCGGACGAAAACAATGGCCTATGCAAATATGTTTTGGTGAACTTTGCTTTGATGGGCGCGGCGAGAGAGGGAGAGAGAGTGAGAGAGCGAGAGAGTGAGAGACTGAGAGAGTGAGAGTGAGTCAGTGAGAGAGTGAGAGAGAGTGGGAGAGAGTGAGCGAGTGAGAGAGAGGGAGAGAGACCGAGAGGGAGAGAGGAGAGAGAGAGAGAGAGAGAGAGAGAGAGAGAGAGAGAAAGACCGAGAGGGAGAGAGTGAGAGAGCGAGAGTGAGAGAGCGAGAGAGTGAGAGAGCGAGAGAGAGAGAGAGAGTGAGTGAGCGAGAGAGTGAGAGAGAGTGTGAGAGAGTGGGAGAGTGAGAGAGAGGGAGATAGACCGAGAGAGAAAGAGAGGGAGAGAGAGAACCCACTTTAGGTAATCTGCGCAGCGGATTGGATCCAACCGGCCTATGGTATGCCATTCCCTGTAACACCCGCGATGCGAGATGAAGCCGGATGTACAAAAAGATTGTTTCAATAAATTATGCATACCGAGGAAATAAATTATATTTAATATGGCCCGCCTAAACTTGTTAGTTCCCCCCGAACCATGAAAAGCCTTATTGTACACTTCTATGACGGTAGTAGTGCTGTCTATTCTCAAACATCTGATCACAACAATGGAACATTTTTATTTTCGGAAATGCTTGGGACGGGTTATTACGGTAGTGTTTATTTTCCAAGCTATGAAAAACTACGAAAAAGGCATGGTTTTGCCACGAAAAAAATTTCTGTGTTTTGTTGTATCTAGCATTTCACTAGGAAAACGACGCTTTAATGTGGTTTATGCTTGCGGTGTAATTTTTGTTGTAGAATTTTTTGTTTCAATAAGTTAATAATACCAAAAATTACTGTTTAAGTTAATGGAATAGTTGCTAGTTGGTAATAGCGTTTTTCGTACCACATGAAAATCAGGAAAAATTTCATTTTTCGGGACTTGCTGATTTTATATGTGTTTCGCACGCTTTAACCGATCATAATAAAAATCAAAACTAAAACACTTATCTTAATTTAAACATTCAAAATGGTTGAAGTTTAAGATTGTTTCGTTTTTATATTGTATAATCTTAAGTTTTCGGGTTAAATAGTGGTTTTTTCAAAACAATCGAATTTGCGGAGGGTGACGACAGCGACAAAAACATTGTTTCAAGAACGACCATGCCGAAAAATACCACGAATGATCTAATATTCTGTTGCTTCTTGCCCATAACTGTCATTTCCAGGCGTAAATCTAAAAGCTAGCATTTTGATATCAAATGGTATTTAAAATTGGACTACTGCTGTAGAATAATCTCGTCAAATAGCCATTTTCAATGTGTATTTGCATTTATGTTTATATTTGACCCCTTTCGTTGTTCGGGATTTTAGGAACATTGGTTTCATCAATTTGTGGATACCAATAAAATACGGCTCACTTAATATCATTGCGCGTTTAATAACATCATGTCAATTTCTTTTGTGTGGATCCAGAGCCTCAATTTTCCTGTTTTTCCTTTTCCTCTACAATGAAACATTCCCAGCTTCGCATAAAAAGGAAGCTTTTGCTGAACTTAAAGCCTCTGCACATTAGCCAATCAAAATCCAAGCACTTGGTTCAACAAAAAGAAATGTTTTAGGTCAAGTTGTGGTCTCAAAGATAAAATGTAGTCTACTGGTCCGTCGGCAAGGAATTGTACCAAAAATACACGAATAACCGAACACGAGCTCGAAGTCGGTTGATTTTGTTGTATTTTTTTTTTGTAAATCCCTATTAAATTGGCGGAAAATGACTCCAATATGGCCCAATAGTAGAGGAACAGAAAGCAGCATCTCACTTCGCAATGAAACATTTAAATTTGCTGGGCACGTCGGCTGTTTGGTGTTTATCGAGCCAGTAAATCAACATCCAATCAAGACGCAATACCTGTTTCCTAAAAATAATCTGAAGTGTTTTAGCTATTGAATTGGTTTCATGGAAAAAACGCAGTTTAAAAGGCCGTTTGCCGGAGACCCGAACAAGCCTTGTCACAGTTTTTTTTCGACCCCGTTTTTTTGATGCCATGTGAAAGAGCATAGTCGAATTAGTAGGGTGGCGCTATTTCGAGATTTTTAAAAGTTCATTTTCTAGGTTTAAATGGGTGTTAAAGTTGAAAACCTGCAAAAATTATCTTGCGATCTACTGAACCAAATTGCTCGAAAATTTCAGACAATACCTAATTTGGGGTGCTGATCATTTTTGTAATACATTGTAAGGCACGAAATAAGCCGGAACATAGGAATACCGCGTACACAGAAAGGTTTTTCGCAATTTTCTATTTGATGGGTATGCGTCGCCACTTTAGAAATACCCTTAAAAGATGCGCAATTAAATTCTACGTCGAATCATGTATTTTCCAGCGTGGCGACAGATACCCATTAAATCGAAAAATCGCTTTTAAAGAAGCCGAAGAGAAAAGAATTGCGTATTCTGGAAAGGAAAGACAGTTTTACGTATCTAGAGACCAAAACAGAACGTTTGCAAAAAAGAGCAAAAAGAAATTCGATTTCTAAAAGGGGGCTGGGATTGAACTCGGGTCGTTCGCCTGGGGAGGTGGCGGCGCCCACTAGTGGCTGTCCCCAGTGCCCCCAGGTGGACCATCGCGGGTTCGATTCCCCACCGAGCCCAATTTTGCGTAGAAAAGATATTTCTTTTTGCTCTTTTTTGCAATGTACTTGTCTTCTCCTTTAGAGTCGAATGAAATCCGCCGATTGCCAAAATACAGTATTTTTACGTTTGTGGATCCATTTTAGTTGTTTTTAGAAATGTTATTTTTTCGATTTAATGGGTATCTGTCGCCACGCTGGAACATACATGATTCGACGTAGAATTTAATTGCGCATCTTTTAAGGGTATTTCTAGAGTGGCGACGCATACCCATTAAATAGAAAATTGCGAAAAACCTTTCTGTGTACGCGGTATTCCTATGTTCCGGCTTATTTCGTGCTTTAAAATGTATTACAAAAATGATCAGCACCCCAAATTAGGTATTGTCTGAAATTTTCGAGCAATTTGGTTCAGTAGATCGCGAGATAATTTTTGCAGGTTTTCAACTTTAACACCCATTTAAACCTAGAAAATGAACTTTTAAAAATCTCGAAATAGCGCCACCCTACTAATTCGACTTGCCATGGCATCAAAAAACGGGGTCGAAGACTGTGCCAAGGCATCATGTGGGCTGTTCGACTGACCGGCGGACGGCCTTTTAACACTGCGTCGAAATGCTTTTCCAATTCTACTAAAACCTGCCAAATAAACGCTCTCGCATTAATCATTCCCTCGTACGAGCATCTCATTTTTTCAAAGAAACATTGTTTCCATAAAATCCAAGTTTTTGCGTGAAAGATAAATAGTAAATCTTTGAAGAAGAAAGTTAACGAATTTTGGTGTTTCAGTTTTAGTAGTGTTTTTTGGTAAAAAAATTAATTTATTATGTATGTCAGTATATCGGCTTCGCTAAAAAATAAAAAGCGGCTCGTGGATGTGTACACGCAGCAACAAAAAAAACGCCAAAATTTGCTAAAGCAAAGTAAGTTTCTAAATCCAAAAAATCAGAGCATTATTTATGAAATTTCTACTATAATGAGCAGGGGCGTAGACAGAAAAAAATTTCGGGGGGGGGCCCAAAAAAATTTTCCAAAAAACTCAAAAGATGAACGAGAAAACAGCGCCGCAGGCAAAAATTTTTGAAAAAAGGTGGCATAGCTCTACAAATCGCCGTAAAAACGTAAAAAAAATAGCGTCGCAGGCAGCAAATTGAGAGAATGAAAATCTTAAGGGTCCCCCCTTATGAAATTTTCGGGCCCCGGCCGATTTCGGGGAGCCGGGCCCCCGGGGCCGGCATTACGCTACGTCCCTGATAATGAGGACTAACGCCAATTTCCGCTCCATCAAAAAAAAAAACAGCGGTGCTTAGCGATTATAGACAGCCTTTTCAATTGTATTGTTTTTATGGCGCGTTGTTTCATAAAAATAGGGAGCCCGTTAAAAAACGTGGAACCTTAATTTGCTCGTGCGTAGCCTTGATTTGCCGTTTTTTCTTGGATCCGTAGCATCATTTTAGACGTTGTTTCCCTAGAATCCAGATTTTTTTTACTTTAGAAAGTTGTTCAATCGGTATCCAATCCATTCTAACAAGATTTTATTCATAATAATAATTAGATTTTATTCATAATAATAATAATTTGAATGTTTTAGGCATATTAGTGGTTTCACGGGAAAAATGCGGCTTAATGAGGTACTCTAGCATGTATCATAAGCAAAAATCATAAATCAAATCCAGAATCAACTAAGAAATACAACAAAAAAGCTACCTAAAAAAATCTTTTTTTTGTAAATCTTCTAAATTGGGATTGAACAGTTTTGCCCTATGCACAAAAATATGTTGGCAGTTCGTTCGTTTGAATTAACACCATTAACCCTGCCCGATTTTTTTTTTGCAATGAAGCATTTTTATTTTTCCACGAAACCTGGGCTTTTTGGTTTTTAACGTATTCTTTTGAGGGTAAATATATTCTTCATACGGTAATGTTTTTAATGTTTCAGGTATATTGGTGGGATTTCATAAGTAATCATAATTCAATTCAAGCGAACCTTTTTCCGCTCCACCAAAAAAACAGCGGAGCCGGGCGCTTATAGACAGCTGTGTACACGTGGCAACAATGAACGGATGAGGCCAGGCCCCCAGTTAGTCATTATTATAACGGAGGTAGTGGGTGGATTCCGACATTCTCGCCAGCCGGCCGGCCCTTCAGAAACCCGAGATGCACTTGCTGGCCCCTTTAATCTCGGCGGTGCTGGTAACGTGAGTTTTATTTTTTGTTTTGACGTTAACATTAAAGAATTCTAAAGTCTTCTAATAATAATTATCTAAATTAAAATCGAAGATCCATAAAAACCTATAATCTGAATTCTAGAAAGTTTTTCAAATTAAAAAGTCTTTAGAAATATCGGGGAAGACCAATTTTTTCCTTTTTCCAATCCAATGTTTTCATATAAATAGCCGAAGTCATTTTAAATCCTTTTTACTTTTTTTTACTAGACGTAGAAGTAGCTTTATTACATCGTAGACGTATACTTTTTTTATTTTTTAATTATTTTCGCATCCGTCCCGGATTAATATCCAATAATTTACGAAACCCGGGTCTATGGATGAAACATTAAAAATTCAAATATTTTATTTAAAAATTTCTATTTTTTCCTCTTCCTAGAGTTCAGAATTTCGAAGGAATTTAATAGTTTGGCTTTTGGTTCGATGATGACAGGAAAAATCTAAAAAATGGCTTTCCAAGGATATGATCGTGAAGTCGATCTGAAGATCCGTTGAGCAAATATTAAATTAAGAGACCAAAGCGTCAATTAATTAAATTTTCAAGATTTTAGGGTCATCCCTGCTGTCCCGGTCTCGGAGGTGGGCCCGAAAGTTTCGGTGAATCTTGCGCAGAGGTTTCCCGGTATGTAAATGTTTAAAGAAATTCCTGGATGCATAATGTTGTACATTTAATTTTTTGCATCGGTAGTGCTAGAAACATTCAAAAGACCAAACGATATTTTGGAAAAAAGTTATTTTGCATGTTTCATGTTTCGTGCATAAATGAATGCTTTAATTAGATTAATAAAATAAATTGCCAAGACAAATATTAATTTTAAAGTATCAAGTAAGATTTTTAGACCTGGCGCTCCCAGAGCTGGACGACGGCCCGGAAGGAGTCGAATGGCTGGGGTTGGAGCCGATCAACGGTTTTCCCGATTTCCCGGCAGGTAAAGCTTGCTTGTTACCGTGTATTTTTAATCATTTTAGCCATCGTCGAACCAATCGGCCCTGACGTCGCCCCGGCAATACCTACATATCAATAAATGAATTCAAGAAATAAAAGCCTTTATTTTATATTATTTTATTTATTATCGTGCCATGGAGCAGCAGAAACTTTAGTCTATTTTGTATGAAAACAACATTACAAATTATTAAATTGAAGATGAAAAGATTATTAAAGATGTGTCTGATCAGGGCTATAATCCGAACGATTTCTTACTCTTAACATCAGAAATGGACGAAACATTCGAACCTCAGAATTGATTTGGTAAAAACCATGTTTCGTAAAACACGCTGAATAAATTTGATTGGTTCGGATAATTCTACTCCAAGTCTGCCATGCATCTAAATTCAACTAATTATTCTAAATTCAATTAAACCCATTATATGACTGTCCACTATATCCTTAAAGTCCCGCTTCAAGTCAAACAGCTAGCAACTGTCCCAAACGCTCTCTGCCAGTCTGCCCCACCCGATAAGAGGGCTTGGACACTTTGGTAAATAAGAAGTTTGGCTCCTGAAATGGGAATTTTTAATGCGCAGAGAAAGTTGTGCCTTTAATTGTTTTCATTTTTGGTTCTTCCATAAATTGCCTCTGCTAGCCCACGGTTTTTGCCAGCCGGAACATTATCCCTCCTATGACCAAAAACCTATTCTAGCCTAGGCTGCTAAGTTAATTTTTAAGGCCATATTTGAGACCGTCCCGTGTATAAAAAACTCGTGGAAAACCTGAGAGTCGGTTTATCAAAATGTAGAAGTCGCTTTATTAGGACGTGGAAGCAACAAAGGAGAAGTCTTCGAAAAACCGTGTTTCGTAAAAAAACCTAAATAAATGATTTTTGGATAATTCTAGTGCGAGTCTATACGACACGATGCTTGTGAATTCAGCTAATCATTATAAATTCTGTCCCACCAATTAATAATTACCCACTTTCGAGCCTCAGCATTTGGTAAAACCATGTTTCGTAAAATGCTCTGAATAAAATGGCTTTATTTGGATAATTTTACTCCGTGTATGCCCGTCACGATGCTAGTAAATTCAACCACTATTATAAATTAAATTAAACTAATTATTAACTAACCATATTACCTTAAAATCCACTCGAAAGCAAGCAGCTGGAAACGATCCCAAAGGATTTCTGCAAGTCTGCGCCGTCGGATCAAGGCGCGCCTTGGATTCGAAAAAAAGGGCGCTCCGGAAATGGGTCGCCCTTTTTCGGATTTTTTGATGCCCAGAGAAAGTTGTGCTTTTCATTGTTTTCAATTTCTCGACCTTCCACAAGTTGTTTCTGCTAGCTTATCGTTTTTTCCAGCCGCAACATTGCCATGTGTACCGCCAAATGGGCTCTTCTAGCCTACGCGCTGTTTAGCCTCATTCGAAATAATTTTTTTCATCGCCGCATAGGGTCCACCGCGCTCGGAATCGCAGTAATTCTTGGTTTGACCCCTTGCGGTTTCCTCGCCTATATAAACTTGACGCGTTTTTGGCTCTGTTTGTGTGTCTGCGTGAGTCCGGCTTTCATGTTTAAGGCTCTATTTAATATCCTCCCATGTATAAAAAACTCGTGGAAAACGTGAGAGTCGGTTTTTTAGAACGTGATTAGATTAGTTAACGTAATTTTATTAGTTAAAATGTAAACGTCTATCGAATGTGAATCGCGAAATCCCACAGTAACCAGGCATCATATTCCATTTAAAAACCTTGTTTCAAATTTTCCACAATCTAGTTGACGAGGGGTAGTTTCAATCCGACCGCCACATCTCAGGTCATATTTGCGTAGCCGCTAGGGGTGCACTGGACATGTTCCGCGAGCTCCGGACATCCAGGTTGAGGTCGGTTGCAAAAAATGGATGTTTTAGCCTCACTATTGGTCTGTGCAAATAATGAGGATATATTGTAGTGCGTGACTTGACGAGTAATAAGCCTTATATAAACCCACCAGACCAAAACCGCCTCACATCCGAAAATGAGGGCCCAACTCGTGATCGTCTCCTGCCTGCTGGTCGCCGCCATGGCTGCGTAAGCTTTTTCGAAACCGTTAGTTAGCAATTAATTGAATTGCAATATTTTCTTTACAATATAATGGTATTTTTTTACTATAAATATAATAATAATGAAAGAAAAAGTTTGTAAAGAGGTTCAGATCGTCTAGTTTTGGAGGTTAAACTTTCAAGATAAATAGCCGGGGTTTTATGTTCCTTCGATACCTTTCAATAATTTTTGGAGTATTTTATGAAGCTTTTTTACCGTTTTTAGTCATTTTCCTAAATTTTTTACCGAAAAGTCAACGATATTCGAAAATTTGCATATTTCTTTCTGCTTTTTAATCTAAAAAAAACTGTGTAAAATTCTGTCAAATGGTTTGGATTCCATTAGGGCCTACCTGGTAAAAAAACCCTTTCGCTAACTGTCTAGCATTCAACTTTATTTTTTTTCCAAAATGGTGTTTCGTGAGAATATACCAGTCAGAAAAATTCAAATACGGTAATGACAAGGCCATGTGTGTTCTAATGTTCCTAATGCAATTTTTCATATAAATTTCCCCCATCCCTTTAACGGACAAAAGATATCTTTTGAAACCACACCCGTAGAGCCATGTTCGCGGTAAGAAAACAAGCCGAATTTTCCCCGACTGACTTCATAAAAAGTTCTATGGAATTACGTTATTAGATTTTTTTGGAATCCATAGAAAAATTATGTTTTGACGAAAACATACGTTACACTTAGCCCTTTTTTGCTCGTTGTAGAAGGGAGAAAGCGGCAAAAAGAAAACAAAAAACACTTTCGAAGCCATTTGATCACACCCTCAGCCAAGATAACAAATAACATTTGGGAATTTGTGAAATTTCGCTATGATTTTTTTTAGCACACCGAAGCCTGGCCCGCCTCCACCAACGGCCGCTCCGGGCAAGACTCTGCCCCCTGGCCCCCCACCACCGCCACCAAGCCAACCCGGACCCGCTGGACCCGTGGGTTTATTAGCTTTAAATCTGAAAAACCCCTTGAAAAATATCGTAGCATTCCAAACTCGAAGACTTCTATTTTTACAGTAGAGACGAGAATACGCTTGAAATTGACCAAATTTTAACTAATAGTAAAACGCTCAAAATGTTGGGAACATCTCTGCCAAGTACCCAATTACCCGGGCGCTTACTGCAATTTAACTTTTGCCTAAATTTTGCCCTGTTTCTCAAAGCCTGTGAACATGGTATACAATTGACGTCTAATTCGTCCTGACCGCTCCCAAAAATCTGCCAAATACAGGCTTCCACAAGATTTCGGATGTTTCCAATTTTGCTGGGCTGAAATACTAGGAGCCGAAAACAATATCAATTTCAATGGTGTCTAGTTTAGTCCTCAAGGTAATGCTTCGCAGTGGAGTTGTTTATTTAAAGTTAGACCAACAAAAGATCATCTGGAATTGGAATTGTTTTATTACTCCTCAAAAAAAATTTTGTTAAAAGTTGCTTTTCAGACCACCAAGGCCCCCGCTCCGCCACCGCCCCAGGGATCCGTAAGTTTTTTACTTGCGAAAAGATGCGCATGGGTAACAGAATTGGTTGCATATTAATGACCCTAAAAAATCCCTTTCGATGTCAATTCATGAAACATGACTTTTTGGCTGCCTCCGAAAATCAAAAAAAATTCAAATAAAACTCTAGGCAGCTAGTGAACGTTTCTGAAAGTCAGGGCATTAAATTAGTGATGTCGATCTTTTCAGACGAGACAATGGTCAGATTTCAACTAATTTATTCATTAGAATTTTTTGAAACCTAATTTTTTTTAACGCCTTTTAGCCGGCAGCTTCAATTGTTCTCGAAAATGGTCTGAAAGATATGAAAATAAGGCATATTAAAAAGTATCAAAGCATGGATAACCAGAAGATACTTTAAATTCAAAAGTAACTCCAATCTTGTTTGAAGAAAATTTTTAGACGAAGCCCCCGGGCCCTCCCCCGCCAACTGCCGCGCCGGGCAAGACCCTTCCCCCTGGCCCGCCACCACCACCACCCAGCACGCCCAAACATTAAAAATGATGCTTTTGATATCGACAATCATTATCAAAAATGTTTGGGAATAAACCGCTGGATTTCATATGTTACGCACACCGGCAAATTTTCACAGAATTTACGAGGCGTTTCACAGAATTTGCCGTTCCTATTTTTTTTTTGTAAAAACAAAACCTTTTCGGATGGTTTCCAATAAGGGTTTAACAATTGTTATATCGTTGTTTTTCTACATATCTGAGAGTAGTATATTTTTTATTCAGCTGAAGTGTACGAACCGCGCACGAAACCAGCGTTAAAACTTACTTTTGATATGAACAATTCTCAAAAATGTTTTTGTATAAATGACTGGTCGTCATATGTTTCACACCCTAACAAATTCACTTACGAGTCTTTTTCACAGGATTTCTTTTTTCTTTTTTTTTTGTCGTAAAACAACATCAGATGGTTTACAATTTCTATATCATTTTTTTTTTGCTTCAGCTCGGGGAGGGTTATAACTATTTTTATAGGCTTGAGTGTACGAATACCAGCGTTACAACATACTTTTTATACAAACAATCCTTATCAAAAATGTTTGGGAATGTTTCCCACACTGTCGAACTTGATTATGATTCACTGAATTAGATATTGTCGGTGGCGTTTTTCATAAAAACAAAATCTTTTCGACTGGTTTCCATTTAGATTTTAACAATTTTTATATTATGATGTTTTTCTTCAGACCTGAGAGTAGTAGAACTTTTTTGCTACAGCCTTAAGTGTACGAAACGATGCCAGCGTTAGAAACACACTTTGTATACTAAAAATCCTTATCAAAGGTGTTTCGGAATAAATCGTTGGATTTCATATGTTTCACACACTGTCAAATTAAATTACGAGCCGTTTCACAGAATTCGACAAAGTTTTGGCCGTGTTCCAATTAGATTTTAACAATTAGCGAACCTGAGTGGCTATTACCACCACCCAAATCCCTAAAACATAATAAACTAGCTTTTTTACAAAAACAACGACATAATAATAATTTTTCGGAACAA